AAATGTACATCCTGGATTTATGATATGCACTGGATTTATGATATTCCCAGTCCTTCCAATTTTAACTGTCTTATATAGTATTAGAAATATAATCATCAGGCAAATGTAAAGCTGATCCAAAACGCCAGTTGGGAAAATGTGAACAACCCTCCCCTTCTCTTTCACCCACAGAAGTGAAGGCAACCAGCAACTAAATCTTACCTCAACATGTACTCTACTACATTTGAATGCCACAGAATAACTGGAAAATGCAGGGAAGACTGAGCAAGTGGCCCAACAGAAGGAACCAAACAGCAGGTTTCCCCAATTCAGCCTCCACACCATTTCCTACTTAAGCCCTTCCAAACAGAAGCACATCTTTGTGGGGTCCATCCCTCAAATAATGAAGCTGAGGCAAGGATGGTAGCTTTTCAAGTCAGGAATGAGTAAGACTTTTTATTCAGATAATGAATTCTGCTGAATGATTCTCCACGGAGGCGAACTCACCTTAAAATATTGTTTAATGCCATTGTCTTTTTTTTTTCTTGCATGGAGACTCCAAGAAATGTTTAGGACTTCCCCCAGAGCTCCGAAACATGTAGAGGGCAGTTTTATTGAAAAAGAACACCAATGGAGGAAAAATGTGGAAACAGGCATGTTTGTCCTTGAGGTAAAGTGTAACACTAGAAAACAATTTGGGGGGCTGCCCGAAAACCAGTATTTGAGTATGTCAGGAGATATCTAGAAAGCATCCATGTAATGGCATGGAATAATAGAATTGGAAGGGACCTCGTAGGTAATCTAGTCCAACCCTCAACTCAAGCAGGAGATCCAATACCATTTCTGACAAGATGGCTGTCCAGTCTCATATCAGAGCAGAATATCAGAGCAGAGGCACCTTCAGAATCAGGATGGTTGAAATGAGCTTCATGATGCATGCTCCCCTTTTTAGATAAAGGCTAGGGAAAACTTAACTATGTTCTGAGGTCATTGTGAGATCAGCTTATATCCATTACCCTGGAAGGATGGGAAGAAAAAGCTCTAAAGTTTAAACTCTAGAGCAGTGATCCCCAACCTTTTTTACGCCGCGGCCCGGTATCCCCAACCTTTTTTATGGCGCGGCCCGGTACCGACATCAGCTGGGTGCCGCCATCTTGTTTTGATGAAAAAGTGCTTCTGGTGAGCTTTCTACCCGGAAAAGCTCACCGGAAGCACTTTTTCATCAAAACAAGATGGCGGCGCCCAGCAAGACAGCGGCCCGGTAGGACTTGTTCCACGGACCGGTACCGGTCCGCGGACCGGTGGTTGGGGACCCCTGCTCTAGAGCACGGGTGTCAAACTCGTGGCGTCACGTTGCTGTCGTGTGACGTATTGCAATGTTTCTTCCCTTCGTGGAACTGGGATGGGCGTGGTCTATGTGTGACACATCCGGCCCACGGCACACCAGTTTGACACCCGTGCAAGAGGATATTTATAGCTATCTAACCAGGACTTAACTTTTCTGCACTGTAGCACACTATCGATGACTGGGTGGGTTTCATTCTTACCTAAAGTAATGCATATCTTAGTGCTTTTCATTTGATGGTCAGTTCAATCCTTTAAATAATTTCACTGGAATTCGGCAGAGAATATCACACACTATTTTGAATTTGCTTTTTAGAAAATATGCTAAAACTTTCTAAGAGACCAATGTTTTGAGGCCCAAGAAACTAACTGGAGATGCTATGTTCTCTGGATCAACTTTTCTGGGCACTTTTAAAATTATGTTTGTATCATGCCCAGCACCATTTGTAATAAACCATATTACTAACTAATATATAGAGCTTTTAAATATCTGATTATGTGCCATCAAGCTGACCACATAGATTTTCTCCACGACAATCTGTCCCTAACCTGGTACTTCAGAGCGGCTTACTGTATTATATAAGTGCTATTATAAATATTATTTATGAAATCTAACAACCATTTTGAATACAGAACAGTCAACTTTAAGTGTATTGAGAATATTTATTTGCTTTCAGTGCTATTTTCAATAAATACTATGTCATATTTATGTCTGAGGTAAAATAAATTAACAATCAAGAATCTAAACCTATAAATTTATGCAGCATTGTTTCATAACCATCAAACAGAAACATTATATTTCCTTCCACGTTACTTCAGTAGTATTAAAAACTTGTGTTTTGTTGGAAATTGGTAAAGAATGGTTATTGCGTGCTAATTTTTCCAATATGCTTTTTGAAAATCCACACTAGAGCTATTCTTAAGAACATCAGATCAAAATTACAGGAAGAAATATGCCATAAGGATCCACTTTAGGCCAAGCAAGGTAAACATTGTATGAAAACAACAATGCTTACTACATTCTTATTATCTCTTTAATGTATGGTCTGGAATAGCAAAGTGCTGGCAGGTATGTTGCTTCATCCTTAACAAATACGACATTAAAACTGAGTTTTGACGGTGCACAAGTTTGTGGTTTTAGCTTTAAGTGCTACGCCTATGTTTAAAGCCCAGGAAGTCATAAAGTGATCTGCTACATTAGACTTCACCCCCTGACAGCTTAACACAGGCATGTGCTTAGTGGAAACTGCTGAAGCAGAAGCTGGCCTGTAGTACCTACATTAGAGGAAAAAAAGAAGAATAAAATCATATGGAGATAAAACCCTATTTTATTTTATTTTTTTGCCACGGTGAGAGTTATTATCAATTGAGCTGGATTGTCTTTTCTTCCATTTTTGCTTAGGATGGGCTCATACAAAAGGCATTTGAGGAGAGTTAAAACAAAGTCAAAATGGCAAAAGCAGAAATAAAGTCTTGCCCTTGTATATGTGCAATATCAATTTGTGTTCAAGAAGAGTGGGATTTCAGTTGTGTTATGCAACCATCACCTTGATTTCTATTGACACCAATCCCTCCCCCCTTAAGATGTACCACCGGGTGATACCTGCCTTGTGAAAGGTCCAAGCCAAAAAAATCAATACGGGTTATTTAGGAGGTCTTCTATTTAAAGCCCACTTTTCTTCTACTTGTGGTTGAGAACTCCCCTGAATATCAACAGCGCTTAGCTTGAGGTTGCTAATCTTTTCTTCCTCTTTTGAGATACATCATTTTGATTACTAATGGGTCTTCCCTTGAGCACTTTTAAAGGCAATACAGATCCCCTTAGTACAACAGATGGGAAGAGAAGCAAATAAATTGCTTTTTGAAGGATGCTAAACAGCAAGGAGGTGGGAAGACAGCAGTGGTTAAGTATTTGCAAAAAGCAAACAACAATAAATGCATTTTCAAACATTTCAAATATGTTGGGACAGGATTGTATCATCCTCCATTAAACTGGCAACTTTTGATATGGTGATGTTTGTAAGTCTAGAAGTTACTGTCAACTCAAACTAGCAAATTTCAGTAGTTAATTTCATTATCTAATTCCAGGATGAACTTAACCTATATGGAACCATAGCAATTACAAATTTGAATCCCAGTTAATCATGTCAAAATTTGATTAGAATTTATACACAAAGCAATCTTATACTTCCTATCCAACTTCTGGCTTTTCAGGGTAAGAACTGAAATTAATAGGCTTTTATTAAATTTCATACAGGAAGAACTTTTGTTTTATTTTTTTTAAAGGGGGAAATTATTCTAAAACAAACTCTTCATCATCTAATTCAAGTTATGTATCATGGAAAGCCTGTCTAGAACTTGCACATTTAGCTATTTGAACTTCTACCATGGACGTTTCTCAAGTTGAAGGAGACATTTCTCCAAACATTCTTGGATGGAGCTCATTAGCCGAAGTGGCAGTAAACTGGGTTTAACTTTGCAACTTCCATACGACTTCATCCCTACCTTGGTTTGGGGACAATGGGACAGCCAAGTTCTCTCTCTCTCTCTCCCTACCCCTCTCTCTCTGAAGGAACTTCTAAAACGTCACTTCATTGATTGCATTAATTTTCCTAGAAAAAATGCTTTGGTTTGTACTACAGTATGCTTTTGCATGTTTGAGCCAGCTTTTCTTTCCTTAGCAGTATTCCAAGATACAACCATTGGAATAAATCATCACATGGTAGATGTGTCCAAAGTGTGTATTTGGCTTGTGTTATGCTGTAGTGTAGGCAAGTCCTTAAAAAGATATAAACATCCATCATCTAAAATGGCAAATTAACCGATGTAATATTTTAGCAGCGCTATTTGAATACTCTTCACATCTGTAAAGCTTCATCATAAAAAGTTTTTAAACCTGGTTTTACAAACCTCTCTCGATTTAACAAAAATATGCAGCAATAGGCTACCCTCTTCCCACACTCTGGAAAGAGAGTATCTGATTCAAAAACTCTCGTTCACAATAAAATAGGCAATAAAAAAATAAACTCTTAATTTTCATCATCTCTTGGCACATAAAAACATAGTAATGATTAAGATCGAGCTCCTGGTTTCTTCTTTATGCTAATGTCAGGGATGGGAGGGAGCCATGGATACCCGTGAAACACATTTTCATCGTTTAAAAAAATTATCATTAAAAAAAAAATATCTTAGAGACAAACCACAATTTTTACACCTGCTTTTTTTTTTTTTAAATGGAAGAATAAATATCCTACACATTTACGTCTGTTGCTACTTTACATCGTGAGCTGGAACTTCAAGGCTGTATGTGCTTTAAGAAACACGGTGTGACATGCATTCAAGCACTTCAAATATTTTGGATAGTTGTAGTAATCCAAAGTGAATTCTTCAAGCTACAGCTAATGTTTCTTGTGCTTTATTGCATGTGTTTCCAAGCATAGAATAATTTGATTGGTTTGTTATTATTGTCATATTTTGCAAGCGATTGACATTAGCCAAGACACTACCCTGAATAACCGATGTGGAGTATTGCAAACCCTGGGGTTTATATTTCAGCACTCCATGCTCATGCAGTAGTTTGTGGGAGAATAAGGTTCATACTGCTGTAGGTGGAACATCAGGTTCAAACTCTGATCAACAGCAGTTCTGGATTGTGCGTCAATATTCTGCACTATTCACTAATTCACTATTGCCAAAGGTTCATCAAAAGTGGCCAGCATGATTTGTTTTGTGGAAGGCATAGAAATGATGTCTCCGCTTTCTGCTGGAGAGTGAATTCTGTTGTCTAAAGAATCTTCTATAAGGCTTGAGCCTTCTTCTTCAGGATCTTCATACAGTGTATTGATGTGCAGAAGAGGATGCACAGGGTGGCAATTCAGGGCAGGCCCTGACTCTACTACCTTATTAGTCTGGGGCAGAGAGGCTTTCGTTGCAGCACCAGAAGTCGCTATATGGTTATGGGTACAGGTGAGGAAAACGCCAGTTGCAGGCACTGTCCTGCAGATGTCATGAGGATAAAGGGACTTGTTTCCAGGAAGGGAAGAATCTGAAAGAGAAGCAAAACACTTGTTTATTTAACTAATTCACATCTTTTCCCCAAATTGAAAAAAAAAAAAAAGGATTATGTGGGATCTCTTAATTTTATTTCCACAATAGCAATTCAGCTCATTTAATTTCGTTGTACGAGGTGCAGTGACAATAAAGTAAAGCAAACTAAACTTGTTAGATTGGATGAAAGCACCGGGCCAAAAGGCAGCTAATGAGGTTGGAGGATAAGGAAGGGCCTGAATGCGGATATCTTTCTTCCTTCCAAGTTCTGTTTCAAAAGAGGCTTAATTTAGAAGAGAGCCACTGTAGTATAATAGTGTAAGTTTTGAACTCATTCAGGTTATATTCTATCTTCAGTCATTAGGTGACTTTGAGACGGGCATTCTCTCTCAGCCCACTATATGTCTTAGGACTGATGCTTGTAATATGCATATAGAATGCATACCATTTAAAAACAACAACAACAACCACAATTTGTCAACTAAAAATACTTCTTTGGTCTTTTTAGTTTCCAGCAGAAAGGGAGTGGGGGAAAGTAGTGCATTCCTTAAATGCTTCAGATAATCGCTTTGGCAGCCGAAGCTTCTGGCCCGCAAAATGATTACTGGAGAGCATGATTGATGACTCTTGGCTATGGATGTGTCTCATTGGAGAATATACATCCAGGGGGTGGGGGGAAGACCAGGGTCAAGGGTGAAATGAATGATGTGTCAGAGTCAGCTGCAACTGGGAAATGCCGACATAACTCCTAATAAATCAATATTTTTTCCTCTGAGATGCAGCTAGAGACATATGATTTGAATGGGAGTGGATGTTGAAGTCCTGACACAATTATTGTATTTTGTTTTATACTCAAGCCCATGCTATACATAGCTTTAAATGTGATTATGTGCTTGTTATGTAAGTTTTATACAATCCCGGTTAGAGAGGGATCAAAATTAACCACAAAACACCTTAACTCAAAATTGAAATTCCGGACCTGCTACAAAAATATGCAATTTGTCCTCAAATCAGTCTCAAATGTGAACAACAATTTTTTAAAAAGGGTCCAAGGAATAAATCCTGGAAACTATAGGATAGTCAGTTTAGAATGTATCCGATGGAAATTGATTTTTTTAAAAAGGTAACCAAGGGGGGTGGGGGGAATGCTAACAAGCCTATATGAAAACATGAAGGAGTCTCCACATTTTTCATGTTTTTGAGAATACAAAGATGCTCATAGGTGGAGATGATCCTGTTAGCAATTGAATATTTAAATTTTCAGATGCATGGCATGGCTAGATAAGCATCTTTATTGCAAGCCACAATAAAGCCATATTGATGTGCTAATTGCATATTGATGTATTAATAGCATGAGAGTGGGCAAAATTCCCCTTTTACACCCCAAACAGTTGTTGTTTGCTTATTTTTTGCTTATTTTCAGCTTCATGGCCTTGAAGTTGAGCAGTTATTGGTTGTTGTCATAACAGTGTTTCAGCTCAGAACTACCTGTTCTTGGTTTAGCTTCCACCAAGCTAGTCTATTTTACATATAGCACTATTCAATATTAATTTTGAAGTGATCGATAAGGATGCCTGTAAATAGCTGTTTCCTGCTTGAGAGCCACCCAAAAGGATCTGAATGCCCAACATGAAAAAAAACAACACAATCATGAAGGACAAAACTGAGCCTTGGAGTGATTCTGGTGAACTTTGTTCATGATCTTCATCAGGTTCATGACAGATGGAAAGAAAAAAGGAATTCTAAGGGAAATCCTCCTCTAAAGCTGGTATTTGCATTGGGAAGAAATTTCTATAAACATCAATGAAGAATCACTTCCACACACTTATATACCTCAAATACCAGCTTCAGAAAAGGCATTTTCTTTAGATCTGCTGAGGGAATTACTATTTACTAGTAATCTACTGAAATTGCAGTTTCATTACAATGACAGAATTCCATGTATATTTTACATAAAGACATACTTATCTTGTCCAACCTGTCCTTCACAGAAGTCCTATCACTTCTTTACTGACCTTCATGAATGAGTTTGTTCCCTACTTATAGCCATAGGATAAATTCTGGAAAATTTCATGGATTCGTTTTTTGTGAATGCAGTTGTAGTCTAAAATACTACAGCAAAAGATAGTTCTTCAGGAAAATTCACTTTCATTTGAGTGATTGTGTTAAAGTTTATAGCGCGATTCAAGAATTTTTAGAAAACACTGCATTTTTTAAAGAAGTAGTGAGGAACCTCTGAATGCTGGACTACATTGAAAAAAAATACCAAGAAGAGTAAATATTTAATACATGAGAAATTGTGATATCCTAATCAATGATATGAGACCATCACAATCAAACTGTTAAGAAAGATGATGTAGATTATTAAAAAAAATGAAGAAAACAAAGCTTTTAAGATAAGAAGGCAGCATAAATTACTTACCAAAGTAGCTTCATTGAAGCTAATGAGGTTAGTTAACATTCTGTGCTTCAACTATAAGGACAAAACTTCAGGGAAGCTTCAAAATTATATTAATTTACAGAGTCAAATTGCTTTAAGTATGTACAGTACTCTTTTCAGAAGATGTTTGTGGGAAGTCAAGGATTACTCTTAAATTTCATATGAGTATTTAATATAGCATCACTATATTTGTGTGGGTGTTTTTTGAAATCCTACAAAGGAAATATTGCAAGCAATATTATCAAGTTATTAGAAAATTAGATCAATAGAAGCCAGAAGTCAAATTTCTTCTTTGTCCCAGTGTCAGGTCCCATAGATCCCTATTGGGACACTGCCATTCCGATGGGGAGGAGACCCGATGATAGATGAACATCACAGAACATCCTATGATGCTCTTTCTCAGTACATTCTGCTCCTCTCCTAGGGATGCTGCTGTAGGCATTACATGCCAAAACAATTGGACAAAGGGACAGTTTCCCCCCACCTTGTGCCATCGTTCTGAACACCTAATCCTCACTGCACTGTCTTATTTCTAAGTATATTTACCAGTTGTATGGCTGTAGTATTATTATCCTTCTCATCTTCTCTACTAGACCCTCTTATTGTTTTCATTATGATGATTACTATCCTGTTGCTTTGCATGTACATTGAGAACTTCTGCACTGAAGACAAAGTCCTTGTGTGTCTAATCACACTTGGCCAAATAAAGTGTTCTATTCTGTTCTATTCTGTTCTGCTCTATTTTATTGTATTCTATTCCATTCCATTCCCTCTCCTATAGTCCATGTTAATATCTGACACTTATTGTGATTTTGTTCCAATTCTTACGTTTTAAATTGCAGGAAACTGCCCCCAAGAAATTTAGATTTCATGAGAAAGATTTTATGAGGGGGAAAAAAGTGGCACAAGGACATTTTTTTTTCCTGAACTACACCAATGCTAGAAATATACTTATAAGAATTGAAGATTCACAAATGGCTCATACATTATAAGCTTAAAAACACGATTCTTGCTGATAAATGTCAAGTTAGCAAACAGCCCATTTATTGTGTGGCTGCCACACGATGTGATCAATATTTCAGTTTGTCTCAGTCATCTTTTCCAGTGCCTGATGAATGATTTCCAGCAGAGGCTATAGCTATCATGCAAGATGTCAACAGTATGGAAAAAGGAACCAACCGCATGTCACACTTTCAGAAATAAGGAGCAATTATGTTAGCTGCAACTGCAATGGAAAAAGTAGCTAAAAATATCTCCATACCTTTGAGAGAAGAAGTGACACGAACTATGGCTTTGTCTTCTTGGTTTAAAAATCCACTCTCTTGACTTTTGGCTATTGCCATAGAGTTACTGGATGGAATTTCTTGCTTGGGTTTCTTATTACTCAATATGTATGGATGAACATCTAAAGAAAAGTGACGTGTATGTTTCTTTCCATTACCTGTGGTGGACAGAGTATTAGATTCGGTTTTGTGAACAGGGGATGGTTGGATAGGTTTTGAGTTGGTCTCCAACAAAGGTGCAATCAAACTATCGGCTGCTGTTTTCCGACGTACTGGCTTTGGCTTCTCAGGTTTGCTGTTCTCAACCTTCACGGTGGCTAGCTGCTCCTTGAATGGCTGAGGAAGGGGATTGGAACTCGAGATCCACTTCATCTTCTTCCGAGGACGCTTGATGATTAGTGGCTCACTAGGGTCAAGGTCTGTAGGGTTAATGCTGGGGTCTATTGTTTGTATTCCAGAATCACGTACGGTTGGGGTAACATCATGGTTAGACTGGGCTAGAGCTGCAAGCAACTGACGCACGACGTTGTCATACATCAGATCACTTTCGTTGGTAATGAAATCCAAGCGGTTTAGAGACTTGATGTGATCACGATTTTCATTGCAAAACATAGCCAGGATATTAATATCACAGAACTGAGATTTCTGCCACTGTTTCTTGGTCTTTATGCCAACCTTGTTCAGCTTGTCAAATATGAAATTGGACTTGCGGACAATGAAAAGGTGGATTAAATTGATGAGAATGATGAGGTTCATGAAACAAAGGAGGACAATGTCCACTCCAGCAATTATGCGTTGCAGCTGAACGGAAGGCAGCTTGCAATTCACCCGTATGAGCAATTTGGAATTGCTGGTTTTGTCGGGAGGTTCTCCAAGAGCGCATGTAAATTCATTTTGTTTCTGTGTAGCGTAATAGGTGGACAAGTACGTGATGGGGATGATGCTTAAAAATATGATGAAGAGGTGCCTTGCCAAGTAAAGTTTGGCTAGGAAATTGCTACGCCCTCTGCGTTCCAGATATTTCTCAAACAGGTTTTGCTCAGGGCTTTTTTCCTTCTCTGCATTCTCAATGATTTCTCTTCTTTCGCGTTCTGTTATCCCTGGACCTTTTGACTGGATTTGTTTTTCGATTTTTGGTGCCCGGCCTTCAGCTGCCCGGTGATAGCAGTTATCTATCTCCTGAAGCAAAAAGTTAAGTTCAGAAGTCAGTCTGGTGGAAGCCAAGAATTCCCACCCAAGGGCTGGAATGTACATAATGCCAGCAAAAGCCAGCAAAGCATATGGAAGAAATTTATGTTCAAACAAGGAAGGCCAGTGGCTGGCATTTACACCTGGCAATGCATCTCTTAGCTCTGTCCAACAGTATCCTCTGGCATACAAGGCTTGATCCCGGGTGAAGTTGTGGGGTGTGTAACAGTATATGGGCTCCTCTGTATAACAGAGAGAAAAGTCACTGCTGTGCATTTAATGTACAAAAGGAGCTCTGCAAAATAAATATATTCATGAGCTACTGTATATCAGTTTTTGTTTACAGTATATTCAGCATGACATTAAACTACCCTGTTCTCTTAGGAGTTAAAAACTAGCCTCCCCAAGGCATGAGGTCAATGCAGAAAAATCTATATAGTCAACATACAGTGACACCTGAAGTGGGAACGACAAATTACATTTGGAAAAATGGTTTTGGAGATTTTTTTTTCATACTAATCAATCAAATTTGGACAGCAAAATCAACAGGATAGTGCCACTAGTAATAACTGGGGGCTTATCCTAGGAAATAAGTATTTCGCATAAGGCCCTTAAGTTCACCTCTGCATTTTGAACATTGAAAAGAACAGCTATCCTTTTGAAAACTCGGATTTGTCATTTCTTTTTAAGAGATGGGAAGCAATCTAAAAGTGAATTGGTGGTGGTTTTCCCCCCTCACACCACTGAAAGTTGGAAAGGGTCAGCTGTGAATGTGTTATATTTTCTGCTGAGCTCTTGAGAAATTTCGGCTTCATAACAGTATATTTAAAAAGTGCAAAAATTGCAGTTGCGTAGGTTGAACATACCTCAGTTTTTTTTTGTTTTTTTTACTGCAACGAAATAGTTATAGGACAAAATGGATGTTTTAAACCAAGGGTCTTCAAACTTGGCAAGTTTAAGACTTGTGGACTTCCACTCCCAGAATTCCTCAGCTAACATGACTGAAGGAGGAATTCTGGGAGTGGGAGTCCACAAGTCTTAAAGCTATCAAGTTTGAAGACCCCGTTTTAAACTCTAAACCCTCCACCCCATAACGATAGTGACCAGAATTCTCTTGAAATTGCAAGCTTTGATTAAATTTTTGGTAAATGGGGGCAAAGAAATGAAGCAGGTCATTTCAACAGAAAATCTGGTAATTATGATTATCAGTAGGAGTCCCCAGATGAAACATTTCCTAGGTTCCTTCTCTTAAATGTTGTCATCTAGTGGGAGGTAGGAAAAATGTTTTCTCCATAGTGACACCTGCCTTATGGAACCACCTCTTCTCCGAGATCTACACCCAGCTTTCTAGAAGGCTGTGAAGGCCTGGCATTGCCCCCAGCAATTGCGGGATTAGTAGCAATAGTAATAGCACTTAGACCTACCACTTCATAGTGCTTTACAGCCCTCTCTAAACAGTTTACCATTTTGCCCCCAACAATCTGGCTCCTCCTTTTACCAACCTCAGAAGGATAGAAGACCGAGTCAACTTTGAGCTGCTCAGAATTGAACTCCTGGAGTGATCAGTGAGTTAGCCTGCAGTACTGCATTCTGACCACTGAGCCACCATAGCTCAGTGGTGATCTTAGGGTGATGGAAAGTCTGATTTTTTCAAAAAAATTTTTTTTAATTTTGTAATGTTTTTATATCTTATTGTTGTGAGCCACCCAAGGCTGTTGTGTTTAATACTGTATATGTGGGGATATAAATATTTTAAATAAACAAATAAATATTTAATTTTCTAAAGCACATCTCAATATAGGACCATTTCTGTAATACGGATTCATTTACAAATATATGAATAAAGAATATGTTACCATCTTAAATACAGGAGGCATATTCAATTCCCATCTCATATACTCAAAATAATTGAATACACATTGTTTGAATACACATTAATAATTGCAACCAGGGGTGGGTATTTTGAGGCAGAAGCTCTCTGCTTTAAGTTTGAGAACATTTCCTATTCAGTATGGGCTGTTTTGATCATTTTGGAAGTGTTTTAAACTCAGAACTGAGCTGTTATAAGCTTAAAATGCTTTCCAAACGATTGGAGCAGCTAACAAAACAGGGCATTTTAAATTCAAAAGTAATTGAATTCTGAATGTTTTATAGACCATTAAACTTCCATTCAATAGAGAAAGATGAAATATTGTGGACTTCAAAGGTACAGCTGAAAATACCTCCTCATAATCAATGTCCCATATTATAATGAAAGGAATATTGCAGGGTTTAATCAAACCCTGTCATAATAAAGGCAGTTTTGAGACGTTGCAAAATTACTGCTTAGCATGGAAATAATAAAAATGGAACCAGGAGACTGAAATTTAATTTGCCCCCAAAGTCTACAATATGCTACTAAATGAATGTTTTGCATTTGAATGTTGCCGGTTACAATTTTGCAAATATTTTCTTTTAAATTTTCTAAAGAAAAAAATTATTGCCAAAGTATGTACAGTGGCATAATTGGGAGTCAGATATCTGTTTGGTTGAGTCTGTTTTGAATCAGATACTCCTTAGCTGACTACATTTCAGCATCCTGAAAAGAAACTTCAAATAACACCATCACTAGTAACTTTTGGAACTTCACAGTGAGACTGCTCAGTCTATATATGGTATTGATCACAAATCCATGAAATGGCATCTTATGAAAATCAATAAAATGATGTCTTATAAAATTCAATACCTTCTTTTATAAAAAAAATACAGTCAAAAGTGTTATAAAGAAATACATTCTATGATTTCCAGAAAGTCTACCACAAAATACTTTTGGGGATTGAGTGTGTTAATGACACACACATATTCATTGCTTCCTGAAAATATAAATCTTGCATAATCTAGGTAATAGATTTAAGGATCATGTTCAAGATTATCATTCAGCACTAAGTCATAGCAAGCCTTTGCAAAACGTATTGTAGGTAAATGAATGCAATCTATAGAAACTCATCTTGTACCCTACAGTAATTCACTTGTATTCAAAATCCCATCAATTGGGTTGAGGTCAGGTCTAATGTAGCAGTAAATTTCTTTAATTCCACGAAGATATGGTAGGAATTACTAAATTGCCTCATTAATTTTTATGGTTCTAATCTTAAACTAGACTAAAATGGAGAGTAGATTCTTATTTAGCAGTTAATTTTTTTGTCAAAATGATGAAAATGGCATATTGTCATCATCCAAGTTTGATAGGGACACAGGTTGTCATGCTAAAGACAAGGGACTTCTACTGCAATAGCACAAGGCTGCCATTTATCCCTCTCCTGCAGGTCTCTTTTAATCTATATAGTGTTACTTTTCATGTTTTTAGACAATATTTGCTAATAGCAATAGCATTTAGTACTTTATAGGCCTCTCTAAGGTGTTTACAGAGTCAGCCTATTGCCCCCAACAATTTGGGTCCTCATTTTACCCACCTTGGAAGTATGGAAGGCTCAAACTTGAGCCTGATGAGATTTGAACTGCCAAATTGCAGGCAACCGGCAGTCAGCAGAAGCAGTCTGCAGTACTGCGCTCTAACTACTGTGCCACTGCAGCTCATATTTTTAATAGAATTAAAAATTAAACAAGAAAAGCAAAATTTGAGAGACTGAAACAGCAATAAAAACATCTGGCACATCTGATAAGTGCCATATAAGTAAATTCCAACTGTAAAGCAAATCTCTTATTTTGATTTTCTGTTAAATAGTGAAAAGCAGGCTAATTTTTAAAAAATCAATGACTAAAAACCTTCAGCTTTCAACCATTCATTGTTACTGGTATGGAGCAGCCTACTTACCTGGGTTCTAAAGGACATTTTAATTTAAACAGCAAATTTCAATTACAACTGTTAATGAATGGTGGTAATGTTTTTTTTTTTTTGGTAGTGCCAAAAAAACAACCTCCAAGCTATTCTTTTCCGCTCCAATAAAATTTACCTGGGCAAAATGTGACAGTAATATGTCACATTTTGTTGGTGTAATTTTGTATATAAAATGAGACCATAGTCTACAGGTGTCAACGTGTCCCTACTTTGTGAATGTAGCAATGACATTTTGCTGCTAAGTATCCATAGAGTACAAAGTTAGAAATTCAAAACTTATACAGGTTCCATGTACAACAATCACACTGATTCAAATCCATTTTCAACCTTTACTATTTCCACTAAGTTTTGGCACCATCCTCTAGTTCCCTGGATTGAGTACTAAATTTATCTGTAAATCAAAGCACAGGCAACTGAAACAGCTGATTTAATTATTGATTGCCCCTACTTGGACTTCCGTTCCTGTCCTGCTGTTTTCTGAGATTGCAAGCTCCTCACTCTTTGCACACAGATAATATAATACTACACCGATCTTAATAATTCCCTGATATTAATGGAACACAACCTATAAAGGCGAGGAAGAAAATTGTGAAGAGTCTGGATTTTTATTCATGCATGAACCAACTGTATACACAACCTTACTAACTTAAATTACATTTGATGCAAATAAAAACATGAATCGGTAAATAAAGAAAATATAATAGGCTAATCAATGCCGAGGTATTTTACTGATGATTTCTACTATTCAGAATAGTCCCATTCCTTATTTTTAATAAATTGAGCAACTATATTTTCTTTCCCCACCTTTTGGTGAAACCATGCTCTCTATTCTCACTGTTTATACTTCTGTGCATTTGTGCACCCAGGGGTGTCTGCAGGAAGAGTCAAAGAAATCAGGATAATGATTGGGTCATAAAGGGATGGAAATTTGACCACACAGTCAGTCACCATGGTTGGTTGGTTGTTTTTGTTTGATACCCTCCTCCCAAAGAGATGCCTCTGTACTAATCCCAATCTAGTTGTCCTAGAATTCTTAGAAGGGTCAGCAAGTTTCCTTACATAGGTACTGTTGATTGTGAGTTATTGTTAGTTTTATTTTCCTTTTCACTCTCTCTCTCTGTAGCTTTTAAGTTACATTACATTAATTTACATATGAATGTTGGCTTTTCTTCCTTACTTCTGATTATCTTCCTTAATATATTTAATGTGGAAATGATAGCTGGTTTTTGATTGTAAATAAATGTTACATTTAATATTACACCTTTAGGATAAAGCTTACAGGCACACCAGGAAAAGCAAGAATTAATTATGATATATTTACAAGCAATTAAGTTGGGCATAGTTTTTTTTAACATTAACTGGATTGATCTCAAGTTGCCTGAAGCAGGATTTACTCCAATACAG